GAGCCAGTAGTGGAGGCCAAGGAGTCTACTGAAGCAGCCAGCACCGCGACCAACTGTGGGAATGGGACCAGAGATAAAAACTGACTTTCCACACTGCTTTAAAAAGTTAAAAAGACGGTTAAAATCTGATTTTGTCAGCTCAGACTGCTGAAGAGCTGTGTCATTTGTTCCCACATGGACTATCACTCTTGTGATGGAGGACGGGAGCGACGGCATCAGGTCCTGGAGTTTTTTTTTAAATGTCAGCCGTGGTGGCACCGGGGAAGCAGTGAGTGGTAGCGTTAAAGAAACGGATGTTTCTGGTTATGGAGTCCCCAATTATTAGTGTGGTTGGGGAGAAAAGAGGACGAGGAGATGCCGGTTGTGGGGTTCCAGAGCAGGACTGAGCAGAATCTGCTTCAACACTGCCTGCGGACTGAGGATGGAGTGTGTGAGCTGCCGAGTGTTGTGTTGGAGTAGCAGTAACAGACCTGAGAGAAGGGCTACCCGACGGTGCAGGGTAGAGACGGCCTCCGGAGCGTCTGAGCACAGCCTCCTTCAGGATCCTATCGGAAGCGGAGGTTTTTGACCGGGATGACGGCCGCCGATCAGGCCCAGCGGCAGACCGGCGGCCCAGTGCAGGAGATGTAGCCGGTGGAGGAGATGCAACAGTGTCGGCAGGCACTGTCCCCTGAAAGAGATCCATATAAGGGAGACTCGAAGCCGCAGGTGCATCCGCTGGTTGGACCAGAGTGTCGTTAGACAAGGCTGCATAGCAGTTGGAGAGGCCGATGTGGGTAGGAGAGGCAGCCCCGTCTGAGCCTCTCTTGCAGCCGCGGACCACCACTTCAGCCCAGGTTGACTGATGCTTCGGAGTCAAGCAGGATGAAAGCCTGGGAAGGCTAGAGGGGTCCCATAACACGGTGTCCTGGATGTTAGCGGTTGCGCTAAGAGAAACAATCTGTTTGGCTTGTACTGAAGCCACATCCATAAAGCCAGTCAGCAGGGAATCTTTCTCTTTGAGTTCCTCTGAAAGTTGTCGGATGTCTTCCGTAAGGTCAGCAATCTTTTTGTTATCTGTGCAGTCCTCATGGGGCAGAGTTATCTCGGCTAGCATAGCTGCTGGAGCTTTGTTGTGGTCAGTAGCGTTGATAGAGTTTTTACGGTCATCTAGCTTAAAATCCATGTCGGATGGCTAAAATCCTTAACCCACGTAAAACTCAAGTTAAAAACTTAAGTTAAATAAAAGGAAATAAAAAATGTAACAAAAAAGTGTGGATTAAAACTGGATAAGAGTCCGGTTTAAGACGGAGCTTCCGAAAGGTTGCTACAGACGCCTTTAGGACTCCTTTAATAATTACACAATTATTACACAATTATTCACTAATGATCAGTTAGTTAATAATTGCCAATGATTTTTGATCAGTTCATCAATCAGTTAGTCAGTCTCCTATCAAAGTCGTGAATCCTCCGTCCAGTGACTTGCATTTAAACAGTACACACACAGTTTCTGTGATTTTGGTGAAATTTATTAACTAACTAAAGTGAATATACAGTGAGGTTAAATATATCAAAGAAATAAAACAATAACTAAACAAACAGAAAGAAATCATGAGAATGATGGAGTTCAATGTGAATTTAGTTGTCTATTGTGGAAAGAATTTGAGAGTGAGAGTAAGAGAACAAGGGAACGAATGAATGCAAGTTATGATAATAACTTTAATTTCGCTAGGAGTTTAGCAAAAGTATTAAAAATAAAGGACATCACCTCAACCACAGAATATAGTTTTGTTTTACCCTTACTGCTTGTTGTTTCTCAGTTTTTCCACCATCTGGCAAAGGCTCACTGTCAGCTTAGCAGGGAAAACGCTTGCAGTAACGGGCAGTCAGCCCAGGCTTCGTTTGTGGTTGATGTCCTGTGTTACGGCTGGCGTAACTAACACCCGTGGCTGGGTCCGAACTTTGGTGGGAGTAGCAGAAATAGTACTTAAAAAGGGAACTTAGTTGTTCATGACTTCAAAGTTGCTTGGCTCAAATGGTCTAATAACTCTAAACAAACAAACAAAACAAAGTAAATTCAATGAAGGTTCGCGTGAATATGGCTAAGTACGTTGCTGGAAGACAAAGAAAATTCCACAGACAATGCCGGGCCGAACTCTTGGCGTTGCTTGGACACGGAGCACGCTCCGTAACCGTGCAGAGAGCGAAGAGCTAGAAGCAGGAGAAGCGAAGACAGCGAGCACGTGTCTGGCGCTGTGTTTTGTCTCCTGGGGCGTGTCCCAGGAGGAGGGCTTCCAATCTCCTGATATTTCTGTGTCTTAACTTTTATATGTTCTATTTCAGTGTTTTAATCAAATACCTTCTACAATAAAACCTTAAATTTCATAAACAGTTATACTGTTCTTAGTTTTAAGTATTTGATAAAAGGAAAGGAAGTTATTGTCAATTGTTAAACATAATAGTTAAAACATTTTGTATGGATCACAGCAGATGAAAGAGAACGTTCTTACGTAGAGAATATATAAGCAAGTAATACGAACATGGCATAAGATTACGAACAATAAAGTACAGAGTGACACATTAAAAGCACAAGGAAAGGCATTAAAACAATGACATAATACTTATTTTGTCCTGGGGTACTGGTTCCATGAGGGGGGACAAAGGATCCTCTGATTATTTACTTATAGTTAATTCAATTCTTGGTTCTGGAGCTAGGAAAAATGGTTATATCATTTCTAAGAGAATATATAAAAGCTGCTGGGAACAAAGCATTAGTTACAACATAAATTAAATGCATGTCAGTGAGCTTTGATGAAGATTAAAAACACTGCAAAATTAACTTATTTATGGTTTTTTTTTATGGTTTTTATTTATGGTCTTATTTATGGGTATTTCAGCTGTCTGTTGATAGGGTTGATATCCCCCCCCCCCCCCCCCCACTCATAACGTACGTAAGATTTATTCTACTTTACTGGTGTTAACTACTGATGCCATATAATGCATTATAATGCATAGAGGGCTCTCTGCTGACCATGCTGTGCTTAGCAGGCATGAAATTAAAAAAGAACAGTAACAGAACAGTATAACTCATGTAAGTCACAAAGTTGTTACATTATGTTTTGAGAACTCAAGCTTTTACTGAATTAAAAAAATTAAAATTGTGTGTGTGTGTGGGGGGGGTTAAGTTTCGTAAGCTTGTAAACAGCTTGGATGTGTTTGTATGTCAGTGGTGTTATGATGTCATTGGTTCTATGGTGGATGAAGAAGTCAGTTTTAGTCGTGTTTTTAGGTAATTTTATGTTTTTATTTGTGTGAATTTTATCTTTTATCTTGTCAACAGTTTGATTCTCTGATTTATTGAATATTTCCAGGTCTTTGTATCAGTTACGTTTTATTGAAGTGGGTTTTAAAAAGTCAAAAAAAGTCTCTCGTTAATTGTTTTGTAGAGCCATGCTGTTTGTTGACACAATAGCAACAGAGTACTGTAGTTTTACTGGGATCTATATTTTGAAATTACTGGTGCTCCACCAAATTTTACAAATAAATACGATGCTGGTCAAATCTGTCGTTAAAAAGTGGGATATTTCAAGAATAACTATCCCAGACTGAACTGAACTGGTTTTAGTGTATGGATACTAGACAATCAGTAACATTAACTGTAAAATAAGAAACCAAAGTATATCAGTCTGTGATTTCTTAACTTATTTTTTTACATAGTTTTCTTCTAGTCTGAATACTGCATAATAGAATTCCTGAAATTCAGTTATGGCTTTTGCTTTTAATGTCCCACCACTGTTCAACCGCATCATTGAAAAAGCAGTAATAGCAGTGGGGCTGTTTCATAATATTAAAGAACTTTGCTACACCGGAAAATCTTCTAACCAGAAATTCCTTTTAGTGTTTGTTAAGAATAGGTTGGCATCAAAAACACACAGCGATGGTCAGAAATAATAATCATAAGTAACTCTAATACTACATAAATATTTGATCATGTTGTTATTATGTCCTGAAAGTTACCATGTTGATAAGTGACTTTATTATGTTGGAGAAGTTCAAAGTTGTCCAGTAAATTCACATGCTCCATAACCTTAGAGTCATTCTGGTTGTTGATATGAATATTCATGTATCCATTCAGGATGTTCAGGATGTTCTCCTGCAGAAACAGCAATGGATATCTTGGTGCCCCATACAGTGTAAAGATGAGCCCTGATAGTTCTGGTTTGATCTCAATCGCAAGATATTCAAATGCTTTAAATGCACCCAGGTCAAAGTCATTATGTTTAGTTAAGCCATGTCTGTGTAACTGAATAAAGACTCAGAGAGCTGGCGTGTGCTTTGCAGGAACTTTTACTGCAACTTGTCGTGTCTCACTTCCAAAACAGTACGTGTGTCAATACAGCAAAACCTTAGTTCCCTTAACAGAACACATTACACACAAACTGTATAGAGAAAGGGCTGCAGTCCCTCCTTCTCTCTTGTTTGTCTGACTGACTGATACAAATGATAGTTTGGAGGAAAAGCCAAAGTGCTGTTTAGCCAGGCTTTACATTTTTTTTAATTATCACTTAACCATAAGGGATTTGTTAACCAATGATTGGACATTAAAAAGATCTCCTTTCGGCTATTAAAAATTTGATTCATTTTCCTAAAGTTTGAATGATGTCTGAAATGTCTACACATTGCAGCTTCTCCTCAGCATCTCAGAGCCAGTTTTCCCTCACAGAATATCAAAAAACCCAGCTTGAATAATAATCCTGATGTTACTTGGATGCGTAGAGAGCATAACTGGCAATGGCCCTATAAGCTCAATGACAGATACAGTAAAAACATAGTTAGATTTTCAGTCTTTGCCATTCTTACATGCTTGGTTATTGAGTTCCCAATCAGAATAGTGTCTGGCTTATCAGGTGTGGAGTTACCAATATTTCATCTAGTATTTTGTTTTTGTTTCTTCTTGTATCTGACTGACACTGCATGGCCCTCAGATGATCTGCCATGTGTGTTGTTTTGTGTGTCTGCAGGCTGTCAGGCTGTCTGATCACAGAGAAAGGCTGTGATTTTCTGGCCTCAGCTCTGAGCTCCAATCCCTCCCATCTGAGAGAACTGGACCTGAGCTACAATCATCCAGGAGACTCAGGAGTGAAGCTGCTGTCTGCTGGACTGGAGGATCCACTACTGAAACTGGACGCTATAAGGTATGAAGAGGCCTGATGCAGCCACAGACAATCAGTCTGATAGAGCAGGTATTTTTTGTTAATGGCTCAGAAGAGAAACACTGGTTGAACATGGACATCTATGTGTAGGAGGTCTCCAAGGATAACATCTCCAGCAACAAATGATGATAATTGCCTGTTGGTAATAAGTTTGGACAGATCTCTGCATGTTGAAGGAACTTTCAGTCTGAGAAATATCCTTTTTATATCTTACCCGATCAAACTAATTTCATGTCTGTGGAAAGAGAGGTCCAGGACGGGCCTAGCTTAGCACAAAACTGAAACAGGTGGAAACTGCTAGCCTAGCTCCATCACAAGACAAAAAAGTAAATCTTCCAATAACTCCAGCTAACATAGTTTAGTTAAGACTATGATCAAACCTGACACAGGACAGGACTATTGAACTGAGTGTACTTCAGAAAAAGTGTAGTGAACATAGTCTACACAGGCCTTAATGCTCAATTAGTATTTATTGCTTTGATGTGATTTTTTTAATTGACTGTTACATTATTTTTTAAATGTGGCCCATATTAGACTCCAATGTGAATTGGCCACAGTTTGAATGTGACCCGCATGCGCAAAAGAATAATTCAACGTCATACGCAGTCGTACTGAAGTAAACATGGAGTAAACATCTGAGGTCGGCGCATACTTACCAACCTTTTTCTGGCACTGTGCAGCATGTATAAGCCCTTCAACTCTCTCTCTGTACTTTTTCTTTTTGTACAAGTAGCATGCACGTGAAGCAGAAGATAGCTCACAAACCCCCTAACAGAGGTTATCGTCTATGGTTTTATTTGTAAGTAGATTTCAGATAGAGAAAGGGCAAATCATGAGCAAAGAGGGAGAAAAAGAAAGAGACTTTTTTTTTTATGGCTTTTTGTGGAGCTTTTTTGTTCACTGCAGGTCCCACTAGCACAGAATTGTGACGACAGTCACTCAAGAGAGATGTCAGGGTTGCATGAATTCTGATCTGACTGTCTAGACTGAGGTTGCATGTCAAACAATCTGTGCTTTATCTGATTTGGACCACATATCAAAGTGGCCCAAATCCGAACTGGAAAAGATCAGATTCTATGTGACTTGGGCTTTTTACATTCTTATAGAAAAAAATCTGATCTGAATCACGTGAGCAAAAAGACCAGATTTGGTATTTATATTGTAGACCCTCAGGGAACATTCAGGATCTGTTCTGGGATCGTTTCGGGTACCATATTTTATTCAGAAACTTAATTAAAACTTTCCCAGATGGTGATGATGTGGAGTTCTTCGTAGGGTTGGGGAACGTTATTTGGCAGACCTCGGGGAACATACAGGATGTTCTGGGAACATTTAGTGGATCATATTGAATTCAGAAAAGAGACCATCCTACATAGTGTCAAGGACATCGCCATATAATGTTCCCAGACGGGCACAATGTGGAGTTCTTTGAATAGGTTTGGGGAGGTTGTTTGGCAGATCTTCAGGGAACATTGAAGACGTTCTGGAAATGTTTAGGCAATCATAGGATGCAAATGTAAATGGTCTGTATTTGCATAGTACCTTTCTATCCTTTGAGGCCACTCAAAGCACTATTACACCACATAGTGTTCACTCATTCACACACATTCAAACATCAATGGAACAGCAATTTAGGGTTCAGTATCTCACCCAAGGACACTTCGACATGCAGCCTGGAGGAGTCATTTTACAGTTATATTCCTTTTTATTTCACAGATTTTTCCTGTATTTTTGAAATACATGAAAATATCAAAAACTTGCATGTAAAATAACATGAAAAACCTGTAGCTGTGCATAACCATAACATTTCTGTTATTTTAAAGAAAATATTGTTTTTTTTTAAATATATTAACAAACTGTTCCAATACATTCAGGAATATACCGTATTTTCGCAAATAATATTTTTCTTATTTAAAAGCTGTTAAATTTAAGTTTAATACTGTAAAAACATTTCTTAAACTTAGTAAAATTAGTAACAGTTAACTGTAACAAAAAAACATGTGTTCTGCAATTTCACATTGACAAATAAAAACAAATAAAATAAAATAAAAACATTGAATAAATATTATTTTCATCAGTGTATAATGTCTGCAAGCATTGTTAAACTGTCAAAACACAGTTTTGATCATTGAAAACAGCCATAATTACTGTAATTTCACAGATGTTGACTTTTATAATGCTTAGATTACAAGTTAGATTAAAACATTAATAATTGTCCCAAAGTGGAAAAATTAACGAAAAGTAATATTTTATTTATTGTTAAATGACAGGTGTCCACACCTTTTAATGGGCTTAAAAAATAAACCTAAACTTCCCATAAAATTATGGGTTTGTAATTAAAAATGAATTTTAATGCCATTTTATAGATACTTCGATTGAAGAGTCTTAGCTATAGGTGTATTATCACAACCTCAAACCAACATATTTAAATCTGTTTTTTTTTCTTAATTAAAAATTACCACATGTTCACATTTTACATTACATACCACCACAGTACAAATACCCACATCTGATAATATTTATAGACCATTTATTCAGTTCCATGCTCACAATAAATAGGCCACACAAGTTAAACATTTCAGTGTAAAGAATTGTTCTCCTGTAACTAAAGTGGTTTAGTTTTTATTTACCTTATGGATGACATTTTCAGATCCATTCATTTGAAACACAACTGGTTTGACATAAAGAACATTTTGGACACTGTCAGACACAGCTCCAAGATTAAAATGGAACATGAATGTAAAGCAATTATAAATTATTTCTTAAAATGCTGGTATTTTGCTTTGATAGGACTGTAGAGAGAGACATGAAAGGCATAGCATAGGGGATAATGGTACATCCAAAATGGTGGTTTTACATAAAGTGAACTTCATGCACAATCCAAAGACTTCATCATTTTCTGGATTCAATATGACATTTTACAACTTTCTAAAGCCAGTTTTTGTATCTGGTAAATGTTGTTATGGCTGTATGTGTTTCGCTGTGCTGTGCATCCATGTTTATTTTTCTACAGCTGATTGCTGAATTAGGTCCACCTGACCTTGGAAGGCAGTGCACAACTGTCCACAATTTCTAAATTAAGTTGGTATACAAAATAGATGCTAATATGTGCAAGTAGAAAGACAACTGGGAATGTGAAACAAAGACAACTCAAGCAGAGAATCTACCCGAAATTCAATGTGAATTCAAACTCATCTATTTAAATTGTTTGAATAATACCTATTCAAACAACAACACCGGCTGGTTTTTCTTGGCAGTCCAAATGAATCCATTTGTTTGCAAGTTTTTGGTATGCAAGCCAAAAGTACTTTTTCAGATTCGGCTGACTTTGCACGACAACACAACACAACAACACAATGGTTTCTTAAGGTCATCAGGATGACCTTAAGAAAACATTTGGCTTCTCAAGGTAGCACAATTGGAAAACATAAACAACGACAAACGAAATAAAAAGCATATCTATACAAGGTCTGTGAGACATTGAGTAAGTAAGTTTCCCTTATTAATGGTATGGTGACCAAATTATGGAGATTTGTTCGTCCATAGCCCTCTCCACAGAATTTGGGGCAAATTCAAGTCAGGTGGCTAAAGCAAAATGACAGAGCAGATAATCACTCCCCCTCCACCACCAGCGTTTGATTTACACTATAACTGCAATTAATAAATAGGGCTGTGTGAAATCACAATATGCAGTACACTACATTGACAAAAGTATTGGGACACCCCTCCGAATCTCTGAATTCAGTGTTCCAATAACTTCCATGACCACAGGTGGATACAATCAAGCACCTAGGCATGCAGACTGCTTCTACCAACATTTATGAAAGAATGGATCGCTCTCAGGAGCTCAGTGAATTGTGAAGTGAAGCATGGTTCTGTGATAGGTTGCCCCCTGTGCAGTTAATCCATTTGTGAAATTTCCTCACTACTAAATATTTCATGGTCAACTGTTGGTGGTATTATAACAAAGTGTAAGCGATGGGCCTCGTGACCCTTTATGCAGGATAAGCGGTTGATGATGGATGGAAGGGAGCGATGGGAACAACAGAAACTCAGCCACAAAGGGGTAGGCCACATAATACCACAGGGTGGGGTCAGCGCATGCTGAGGTGCACAGTGTGCAGAAGCCACTTTCTACAGAGTCAATAGCTACAGCCCTCCAAACGTCATGTGGCCTTCAGATTAGCTCAAGAACAGTTCGTAGAGAGCTTCATGGAATGGGTTTCCGTGGCCGAGCAGCTGCATCCAAGCCTTACATCACCAAGTGCAATGCAAAGCATCGGATGCAGTGGTACCAAAACACCACTAAACACCAGCTGACAGAGTCTAAACTAACAGAACAGCAACAGGGAGTCTAAATGCAAGGCGTTTGCAACAAGAGAAGAATATACTTTATTGTCACATATACATACATGTTGCGTGATTCATTCTCTGCATTTAACCCCATCTCTCAAGGGAGCAGTGGGCAGCCACTCTGCAGGGTCCGGGGACCAACTCCAGATCTTTACCAGAGTCTGGTCTATAGCACTGACTGGAGAACTTAACATGTTTTTGGTGGTGGGGGAAACCGGAGCATCCGGAGGAAACTCATGCAGACATGGGGAGAACATGAAAACTCCACACAGAAAGGCCGGGATGACCAGGGTATAAAACCCACAACCTTCTTGCTGTGAGGCCACAGTGCTATCCACTGTGCATCCCAACAAAACCAACAGGGGCCGACTAATAACACAGAGTGGCTAAGAGAGTTAAGATACCACAACAACACAGACAGCTTCAGACAACCTCAACAACAGACTAAGATAACTGAACAAAACAGATTAACACAATGATAACCAAACGGACAACAAATCAGGCAGGGCTCACAATAAATACTGGCAGACTGGACACAGGGCAAAAGACAGGACTGAAACCCAAAACACAACAGACAATATAACAGATACTGAACTCATCAAATAACAAAAACTCACAGTGAGCAAAACTAAGCAAAGCCGACAATCAGAATGTGACAGGAGAACAGTACTTGTCTGACTGCTTTGTGGGGTTGGGTTTGGCCCCTTAGTTCCAATGAAAGGAACTGTTAATGCTTCAGCTTACCAAGACAGTTTGAAAAATTTCATGCTCTCAACTTTGTGGAAACAGTTTAGGGATGGCTCAAAAACACTGGTGGAAAAACACTGAGCTGCAGAACAGCTCTCCTCTCCATTCCAAACACTAGCCACCCGCCAAGCAGTCAATGGACATAAAGTTGTTACTGTGATGTAGAGACAGAGCTGAGTTAAAACAAGTCAAGTATGACAAAAAATATGGTGTTTTTTGAAAATTGAACCATGTAAACCTGTTCTGGTACGACCCTTAAATAGGATTTTGAACCTGAAAATGAGCAGAATACCACCTCTTTAAATGGAAAATCTAGTGTTTGCAGGTGTTGTATAATTTTTTTTTAGATTAAACATGGATTACATTTACAAGATTTCTATGTGAAATTATATAATAAAATTTACCTAACAGCTGCACTTTTCTGCAAGTTTTAAGTCTGATTGTATGTATTATACCAGTGTTCAACTATTTATCGGTAATTTAATTATTTTTACAGGTGTATATGTTCTTCAATAAATATTAATATTTTAATATATTTCATTTTGTAAAATGAAAGTTACAAACTGTATTGTCATTATGGAATACAGAAAAAATAGTTATTTATTTATTGTTATTATACGGTATTTTTCAGTTGTCATTTCAGTAGGCTCATTGGCTGCGACAAAGATGGGAGACAAGACGAGCTTGCATGAAAAAAGTAACAATTTATTTACAAAATAATATTAAACTAAGATAATAATGTGTGAATCACTATCAGTCATGTCAATGTGTGGGTGTGTGAAATGTCAGTATGAACAAAAAAGCAATCAACAGCTGCACCCGCGATGAGAGAGAGAGAAAGACAAAAACGTGGTGAGCTTTATAGCTCCCAACCACGCAGGCCCAGGTGTAACTACTGCCGCTGATGACAACCTCCCAGAACCACATACTGAAAGACAAACGCAAAGAGACAGGACACTTTGTGCCTGGGAGGGGTCGTCACACAGTGACATGAACCTTTAGGGGACCTAAATAAATGTTATTACATTGTATTATATGTTGTTTTTTTGGTCCTTGCATCACCTTTGCAGAATGTTTGCAGAACTTACAACAACATTACAGGAACTTTGTTGAACCTGTAGGGTACCAACCTAGAATGTTCTTTTGTGGTTCTTCACCTTCCCAGAATTTTTGCGACATTACAGCTTTTGCAGTATCTTTAGGGATCTAAAAACTGGTGTCTTGAAATACCAAATATCAAGACATGTTTACAACATAAAAATTCAGGTATAATGCAAGACATTCTCAGCATTTCACTTTTATATTATTGAACACTATGCTAAATGTTTCTGTGATAGCCTAGATAATAACAAAAGCTGACTTGATTAACAATATGATAAAATATAGTATTTCTGTTTATGGGTGAAAGACAAGACGTGTAAATTTGGTGTCCTCAGGTCTTGTATTTAACATACAAGATTAAGATGTATAAATTTAATATTACATCACTCAACTCTTATCCTTCTTTTGACCCATAAATATTTGTGTAGCAAAATATGAAATGAACTCCAATGGTATAATGTGTTGGTGTTTACAGCATCATATAAAATAACATAATGTATCTAAAATATTTTAAAACTTGAATAATATCCCAAACATTTGTGCTTCATGAATGTCATTCAGTATAACAAAGATAAAAAGGTACCAAATAT